CTTCACACAGATACTGTTTCAAGGTATTATTTCTTTCCTACTCTCAAGTTTAACACACATTTTGAAATCTGCAGCTTCAACCTTAAAAACAGAAACCCAGGAGGTGTTTATGTATGACCTTAACAATTGAGTAAAGGAAGTCCTATTAAAAATGGCATAACCATGGGGTGATTGGAAAACAATTATAACACAGGATGCTGCTGGTGCATGAAACAGGAAAAGCACAACCCTGCAGCATTCCCTGCACTCTGGTCACATGTCCCAACCCCTCAAAATACCAGTGCAATACATCAATAGCAAAAAGGAGGCAGAGGGAAGAGAGGGAAGACAGAAAAATCACTGCAAAGGTAAACCTAGCTCTGGCTCACAGAGGAATTTCTGTAGTTATGCCAATCAAGGGAGGATGAGATGCAGCCCAGACCTGGTCAGGTAAAGGGAGGGTGACAGAAAGCTCAGCTTTACTCAGATCACAGCTGCTCATCCTCCTCTGCAACATAAAAGCACAGTTGAGCACAGAGGAATTCACTGTTTCAGCACCACCAGAAGCCTAAAAGACCCAGAAAAACATTAACTTAGGACAAACAATGTTGTCACAGCACTTACAGACATCAGTGAAGAAATCAGCATAGACTATAGACCAAGAATTCACACCAAAGTCTCTCTCTAGGCATTTTTCAATATCAAATTTAAATGCTCTTAAACTTTTTGTTTTTAAAGGCTGCAATTTATGAATCGTTATTTAAATCAGGTAATGTGATAGACTTAAGTGCCTCTTCCTACCACAAGAGCAGTCAGCTTCCTGTCATCTATTTGGTGGACAATGTCAAAGATCTCTAGACTATAAATATTGACTATTTCTGCAAGTAATGTTGAAACACAGGTATAAAACCAATACTATTAATTTTGATACATAACACAAATACTTAAAATCTCATATTTTGATACTGCTCAGCACCAAGGCTTTGTATATCCAGTATATCCTCAATAATAATGCCTCCCACATTAACAAAAAATCCTTGCTTTTATAGCATTACGGCAACCTCTTGCTGGGCATGTCTCCCTTTTTCCTCAGCTGGGATGGTGGGCAGACACAAATCAAGCTACAAAACTGGGAAAGGATGGGAAAAAAAAGGAGAAATCTACCTTTACCAGCTGACAGCTTTCATGTAATAGGAGAGTAAGTTGCACAGCAACATTCATGCTTCATTTCTCAGATACTTTTGTGGCAGGAATAGGAAAGGAAAGACAAAAGCTAAAGCACAATCATCTCAGATCAATGCACTGGACTGCTTCCAATCTTTCCATTCTTTATTACATAAAGCAGGGGAGACAAAACTGATTTGCCTTCCAAGGAACTGTACTGCAGGCTGTAAGAATAAGAGCTGGATTTTCAGGTAGGAGTTTATTTTTTTTTTAAAAACTATGAATTATTTTTTATGCATACAATGTGCGTTTAGTGAAGTATTTCAGTCCAGATAGAAGCTATTATTGCTTCAGGTTAGACAGAAAATCAAATATCAAGAAGAAATACAACAATACCCTTGCCAGAGTCTCTTGAACATCATGTTCCCACTCTTGAATTTAAGTCACAAGCATCCCAGTGAGGAGAAAGAACAGCTAAGTAATATGAAGGATTGAAGAAGTGAATTTCTAAATGGAAAGAGCTTAAAGCTTGGTGATGATATGAAAATGTTACAAGAAAAACAAACCCAACCCCCACAGTGTTTGAAAGTTATGGAACATTTAGAAAAGGGACATGTACTGCAGCAAGGAAAAATATATTACCAAGAAAAAACTTCCTGACAGGAAGGTAAATTAAACTAAAAGTATTATCCCAAATGTCTCACAGCAACTTGAATGGATTTTTGCATCTAATCTGAAAAAACCCATGAGGGAATACTTTAAGATCTGCCTAATTCAGAAGCCTAACAAGAAGCAAGCCATGAAACTGGATATTCAGCATGACCAAACAAGGAGCAATCAGGAGATAAAATACACTACTTTTATATCTATTTTGAAATTTCTGATGTCATTCTACCTCCCTTCCCCCTGCAGTATGAACAAGCATCAATATACCTGTTCATAACAATAAAATACAGGGAAAGAATCTGCTGGGCACTCTGGCAGAGCTAAAGCCAAGCTGACAGTAAAAACTGAACATGCTGTTTGTTTTACTGCCAATATTTATTCAATTAACTTCTGTCCTTTACACCCAGGTACCAAGGACATGGATCCCATTTGGGATGTACCCCAGTCACCTTTCAAAACCTGCAATATCTTTGTAATGAAAATTTTTTAACTTTCACTAATGTTCAACACAGGGATGGCCACTAGGAAGAACAGCTGAGAACAGAAAAGAGGGAGATTGTCACAGGCAGAAACAAAACACGAACTTTTCTTCGAGAAAGACTCAGAAGTTGCCAAAATCCAGTGACAGGCAAATCTTAGTGGGAGATGCTGGAGCTTTGGCACTTCAGAAATTCAGTCACACACATATGGAATCAACTTCCATGTGAGAAGTTGGTCAGGCAGTTTTAAATTACTTACTTGCCCTTTATCTCATTACTTCCATCTCTAGAGTGTTAGTCTGATGTGCAATTTCGAGCAACTGACATTAAGAAGTAATTAATTACCCCAGAATGAAGTTTTTCTTTAATTTTTCAAGAATTCAAATTCTATCACTGGCTGTCAGCAAAATTTCACTGAGGCATCAATCAGTACTTGAAGTCTGAGTGAATGGAGACCCTGCAAGAGAAACTGCTCCACTGCAGACGGGACCCCAACTCAGGTCAGGAGATCTCTGAAAGCTTGGATTTTTAAAGTTCTGGTTTTTCCTCTGAGAGGCTCCAGCTTCTTTGAATCCCTGTCTGTCCTTGAGAAAGCAGGAAAGCAGCAAGAAGGAAGGAAGGGACTGTAAGTTGCCATTCCTGCAGTCTTCTCTTGTCCAAGACTTCTTTTATAAAGGGTAAATGAATTTATAGCTATGACTATCTTGCAGAACAAAAGCTCTATCTTAACCAGGTATTAAAAGTTAGGAAGAAATTGTTAGGAATTTTACATGTTTTCTTGGATTATTCCCAGAATTTGCCCTACGTACCCTATGTAGTCTCAGCATATATTTTGTAATATTTACATTATTAACCACTTGCCATTTATGACTGAAAGTGACCTACATTTTGCATAAGTTAAAACCTGTATAATACTGAATTAATTTAATATAATGTACAAAAATTTGACATAAATATGACAGAGGTTGCATGAGGTGAGAATGCATTTACAGTGGCTGTAAGAACTACATATATAGTTCCACAGAGCATTTTTTGACACTGAAATATAACAGGACTCATATCTTACCTGTACCTATATATGTTTGCATTAAATCCATGTATATTAATACTGTGCTTGTGTCATTATAATTTCCTGGGTATCAGGGACATTATCTTCATAATATGCTAATAGAAAAAGCATAATACAGAAAATAGTGTACAATATCTTAGTTGTACACTAAAGGAGGACACATAAATCCTGGCCTAATATGGAATGCAGAGAAAGAGAAATTATAGAGCACGAGATGTGACAACATTGCTGTTCACAAATGACCAATATTACTTAGAGTAGAACATTATTTATGTCAAATACCATCAGTTTTCTTAAGACATCTGGCTACCCAAAGGAGAATACAGCACATAACAAATCACTGAAAACAAGATGTATTAAAAAATGTCTATCTTAGCAACTAAAGATTAGAGATTTCCAGATTTACCTGTATCAAGTTCTCAAATATTCAGCAGTATTTAGCTTTGTAGGACTGAGAGACTGCCCTAGTACAGCATTCCATTACTGCACTAGCAATTAGCTTGCATTTTAACAATTATCCTTGGGAACAGTAGATTTAAGTATCACTGTGAGCTCAGCATTATGAAGGTATATTTATAAGGCTTAATGCAGTGAAAAGCCAGAGGACAGCAGCAGCATTTAGGAAAAACTACAGCACAAGGAATACAGAAGCCAGTGACAATATGGTGTACAATTAATATTTATCATTAGAAATGACCTCACAAAAGCAACAGTATTGATGATAAGTCCCAGTTGCAAATCACTGATTTAAAAATAGGCACAGTACAATATAAGTTATAGAATTATTTCAGTTTACATAAATTAGAATGACTGCTTAAATGCAAGTGTGCCTCTTGGGTATTTACAGTTTCCAGCTCTATAGAAAGCAATTATTTAGTCACTGCATTTTAGAGGAAAAACAAAAGGACTAATAAATGTTAGCTGCAAAATATTTTCATCACCCTTCCCTAGGATTTTAACACTCAGAAAAGGGAAGTTCTCTATTCAATATTAGCACAGTATTTTGTCCTACTGCTGCAGACAAAATCATTTAAGGAGTACATAGCAATTATATAGAGCCTTACCCTTTCTACCGGTGAGCCATAGCATGCAATGACGAAACATAGCAGTGGCAGATGGCATTGGTGCTAGGAAATGTGAATAAAAGGATAATAGCAGAGAAATGGTGACTGGCAGACAAGACACAGAAATGTAGATGAAATGAATGCAAGCTGGTAAATCTTGAAGCAAAGCTCCACCGTTAAGCCAAACGTTGCCTCTAGTCTCCTCATAATTGAGCATTAAGTTCTATTTGGATACAAATTGCAACCTTCAGACCAGTCTTGATTCTCTTCATAAAGAAATGCATCACTGTATCTTGATAACGAAGATCAGAAACCCATAATCAGAAGCACATTACTTTCTCCCCTTGAGTGATTTATTCTTTACATTATTCATCTCCAAATCCTGCCAGAGCTACAGTCTCTTTCTAGCACATATGTAGCCACTGCAGATGTAAATCCCTGCCTAACCTGCAGCACCCCTGGATCCAGAATGTTCTCAGTGTGCTCATTCATGCTGTTCTGTTGCCAAACATTTAAAATCATCCATCAAATACAAGTGGAATCTATTATAAGAAAAAACAATCTCTTCTTTCAGCTCACCCTGAAAATGGAAGGTTTTCTGATCAACAGTTATTGTGAAGGTGCTGTCGTCCTCATCGTCTATACCAATCACAGCTCCCTGTGAAACAAAGAACAAAATCCTGATAAGGCAAGCAGTGACATCAGCAGCAGACACTCTATCACTACACCACTGGAATTTAAAAAGCTTTGACAAATTAGAAGCAAACTGAATGCAGTAAAGAGCAGAAGGATTCTCTGCTCAGTCATAGGATGCAGTCAGTTCTTTAAAACAATATATTTTTAGCTGCAGAAAAAAAACAGTGAATGTTTGTAAAGCTATTATCAGGATAATAATATGCATCTTTTATTTTTGTAACGGTGGCTTTATGCTGCGGCAGCTCCCTGCTACGTTCCAACTTACATTTTAAAGAGTGAGAAGCAATATTTTATATATATTTTCCGTGTATAAAAATAATAATTCTTAAGTACTCTGCAAAAAGAAGCTCTTGACCTGATTTTATCTACCAGCCTGTAATAAAAAATAAATCATTCTAGCAGAATGAATTTGGCCCATCATGTCATGTCACTGGTACACTGCATGATCTAATTTTCAGTCCCTAAGTAAATATTAACAGTAAGTAATCAGGATATATGGGAAGCAACTAGCTTTGTCTTCTAATTCTTCACTAATTATTACAAGAAAATGCAAATAAATTAAAGACCATCTGTGCTTAGCTATTTACAAATCTATCCACATTTTCATTCCTGCCCCCTCCAATACTTAAATAACAATTTCACCCAGGAGAAGACACAAAAAAAAGGACAATTCCAAGTCTCTGCCAGCTCCAATAAATTGTAATATTTAGCTCAAAAATCACCAGCGGATTGACTCAGTTTCTTTTCTCCTTCTCCAAGGAGACACAGCACCAGGATCTGTTGCATCTTCCCCATCCCACAAAACAGACAGACATCCCTGGAAGATGCACATATTTATTTAGAGGGTAAATTCTGCCTTTACTCTCGGAGTACACAAAGAGTAACAGCACTAGGAGGAGCCCTGAGTCAATTCCAGCCAGGGCTTCCTTCTCTCAGCCAGGCACTCCCAGCAGCTGCAGGGCTGGGGGCCAGGGTTACTCCAGGCTGGCCAAAACCTAAGGATGGTTTGGGTCCAGACCTGGGGGCAGAGGGAGCTGAGGCACTGTTACCCACACAGGTTCCTCTCAGCCCCTGCATGGGATTTGTGGGACCAGGTCATGCAGGGCTGGGACCAGCCCAGCCCCAGGTAAGAACAGCACCAACCATCTGTAATCCAAGGCAGCGTGGCAGGAAAGGATAGCTCAAAGCTGGCTTTTTATTTCCCTCCACTGATAAAATGTGCCACTTAACTTCTCCAAGAGTATCTTCCTCATAGGCTTTCCATAGACAGCTCTGTGACCACTATAAAAGAGGCACCTAAAAAGTATATCCAAGCCAGTGCAATTGTGAACACTTTTAGTGCCAGGACACAACCACCAGATTTCTTTTAAACATACCAGTAGATAAATATCTGGCACTTTAAGTACATATTTTGCTATGCAGTAAATCAGAAGTTCACTGCAAGTTGTACAATATCCTTCTCCTCAGAAGCTGCACCACAGTCAGTGTGGTTGGAAAGGAGCTCCAAGATTATCCAGCCCAATGTTCAACCCAGTGCCACCATGTCCAACACTGAATTACCACTGCAAGTGCCACGTCCACACATCTTTTGAACACTTCCAAGGACAGTGACTCCACCACTTCCCTGGGAAGCCTGTTCCAGTGGCTGACCAATCTTTCAGTGAAGAAATTTCCCCTAATATCCAATCCAAACCTCCCCTGGTGCAACTTGAGGCCATTTCCTCTCATCCTGTCTCTTGTTACCTGGGAGAAGAGACTGGCCCTCATGTCACCATGACCAAGATACTCTCCCCAGAGGATACAGGTAAAACTCACATAAACACAGACTGAGACAGCTGAGTGCTGCCCCATCCCAAGTGTGGGAGCAGGGAGAGCTCCCCTGGGCCTGTGAACTCAGCACAAACATACTGTCACTGCAACACTGGGGCAAAGGCTCTGAGCCAGAAGCACAGCAAATGCTTCCTCTGTCATGCAGATAATACATATGAACAAGTAAAATTAAAAATAAGAGTTTTTATTTGTTTATGGATATTCCAGTTTATGGATATTCCAGAAAACTTTAGCAGGACATAAGCATAGTGCAGATGACACAGAATGCTTTATGACTACACTTTCCTAAGTACACTAAGACAATCAGCAAAAGAATCTGAAGATGAAATTTCAGGCCTATGAAATGTGTATCATGAGCAAAAAGGTGAGGAACAAGCTTTTCATAATCCATTCAAGAGAAATTGAAATATCTTAGCCAAATTGCTTAAGTTACATGTTTGTTTATGTTCACACCTACAGTTACAAATCAACAATTACCCTAAACAGAAAACCTCTTTGATAGAATTTCAGACTGCAAAAGCCCATCTGTTCATCTATCAGTATCACTGTCATCTGCCAGGGAAGCTGCTTTACAAAAGCAGAAAAAGGAAGATTCCTTCCTTCCTCACAAAAAAAAACCCGAAAAACAAACCCAAACAAACAAATCACATGTATTCAGAGAAAGGCTGGGGGAGTCCATCAGTTTTTAGAAAACTCCAAAGAACAATTTGTGGTGGAAGAGTGACAGATGGGAGAAGAGAAAGTGGCTGTTTTATGTTAAATACATATAAAGATGGACCAGGCAATATTGAACAGATTGTTCATTTTTATTATTTCCTAAACTGGCAGGCTGAGGCCATCCTCCACAGTGACAGGCTCACAGCACAATTAAAGCAGGCATGGCTTTTTGGACTGAATTTTTCTGCACAATGAAAAAACCTCCCTCATGAATCTTTGGGAATGTCTTGTTCTAGACAGTGGTTTGTGTGTACATTTCCCTTAAAGAAATTCGGAATTATATCAATACATCAAGCAAGGCAAAGTGCAAAGAAGTCATCTGGAATCCAAGTTAATGGGGATTCTCTGAGTCTCAGAAGGCTAGAGGTACCCACAGAAAGACTAGAAAGGCCTAACAACAGAAGGAAGAGTAACTGGAAAATGCAGTTTTCCTTCAACACTCATCACACTGTTTGTAAGACCACAGATCCCCTTCTCTAGACTTCTCTTCCTTCAACTTTCAAAATGCTCCCATTCATACCCGTCATTCTCACTCCTCACTTGTTCCAGCTGCTGCATGCTAGAACCAGAAATTCTATGAGAAATGGGAAAAAATATAGGACTTGTGCAAGAAGAAATAGCTTTGGTACGAGCATGACCACGAGGTAGGAACTGGGCACATGCAAAGACATCACAGCAGTCTCCCCTTCCTTTAGTACTTCCATTTCCAGCTACAGCAGCAGCAGTCAAGGTCAAATGTCCCACACCAGAGTGCCTCACACAGGTAATGCTCAGCTTTCCCACTCTGCACCTTCTCCCTCTCTTTCCCCAATTTGCACACCTCCCTCCAACTATATTTCAAAAACTTTGCCAGCAGTGTTCACCCTTCCCTTTCCAGTTCTCCTTTCACTAAGCTCAAGCCTAGGCCTAAGGAGTGTCCAAACTGGCAGAATGGAGGACACTGTAACAGAAGAAAACCAAACCAGGACAGAAGGAAGCAGTTTCACAATGACTTCTGCAGGTACAGAACAACATAGACACATATATATCTGTGTATATACACATGACCTCCCCAACAGAGAAATGAGAACTGCAAAGAGCAAATTTTTCACAGCATCCTACTACTAACCCATCTTACTCTGCCACAGAATGCCTTCTAATATACCATATAAAATGTATAATATTTTTATACCATATATAAATTATAGAATGTAAATAGTCCAGCGTGTCACTTGACCTCTAACGTTTTCTTTCTTTAAATACTTTCACTATTTCAGCATTTTGCAGAGTCAGGAATAGAGCCCAAACCTCAAAAGTCTCCTTGCAGTTCTCTCCATTAGGACATATTATACACAGTAAGTCATTTAGTTCTGAATAAAACAACACTTACCCTGAGTCTAACACACCCTCGGCGTGAGCCTCTCATCATTTTGTCTTTTGACTGAAACAGAAAAAAAACAGACCAGTGGGTTAACAAATACCATAAGAAGAAAGTTATTCAAACCAATAGAGAAAGAATAAAGCATTTTTGCACCATGTTTTAGTGACTGACCAAACAAGATGCAATTTCTGTTATAAAATTGGTTTGTTCCCACCACCATGGTATGGAAAATTAATCCTTCAAAAGAATACAATATCCCACTTCAAAAAGTTTCCTAAGTAACTTCAAGAAATACTTAAGAAATGCAGTCCACGCCTTTCTATAAAGTAAAAGGAAAGGAAGAAGAAAGGAGTTGAGAAATATTAAAAATCAGCAGTATGCTGATTCACATCTTCCTCCTTTCTCTCCTATTGTTAGGAAAGTGTCTATGAAACAAAATCTAGCTGTGCAGGCAGAATTGCACAAATGAAATTATACATCTGACAGAAGCTTCCCCTGATCTATACCCATTTTAGGCAGAGACAAAATTCATGTTTAGACTTGTTTGTAAATCTACTTCCTAGCTAATACAGCACACTGTCATTATTTCAGTTTTTGAAGTTAACCTTTGTAGACATTTAACCTCTTGGAACCCAGACCAGAAAACAGAATTTTCATATCCATAACCACAGCTCAAACTTGCACATTAACCTACCTTGCAAAATTACTCAATCTCTTCTTTAACACCTGTTTGAAGCACTGAAAAAAGCTTCAATCTCCTCCCTAAGCAGGGAATTCTAAGCAGTCAACTCAACTAGAAATAGTGATACTTGAGCTTTCAGCTATTCCCATCACTGTCACAGGCAAAGCTGACAGTAACCATTGCAACTGAGCAATTGTGGCAAGCCCAAGTAGCACACACAAACGATTTAAGGTGAAAAAGAAAATAGTTAGGTCATCCTGGATACTTGGTTTTCTGGTAAGGGCTGTTTTTTGACCACCCACACACACACTTCCTGGTTTTTAAATTATAAATTCCTTGCTATTGTAGCCTTATCTGAAAGGTAGTCCTGTCTAATAAAACCCCTTCTCTCTTGCCATCCAAATATTCAAACTACATTCTTTCAAGTCAGGAAAACAACAACTGCCACTGTTGTCTCATGATCAGATTCTCTTGCTGTCATCTTCTGAAACACCCACTTCTTTCAACAGTGTATCAATAATTCCATCAAGACAATATATTGATGTTATTATTACCAGACCTATTTTCACTGAAGCAATTAGACAATAAAATCTTGCTGACATTAATGGGGAAAAAAAAAAGGACAAGAAGTATCAGTCTTAAGAGTGACAAATTCTTCTTTATGTGCCACATGTTTTGGATATAGCTAGGAGGAAAGAATGAAGCAGTCCTAGCAAGTCCTACTCACTAAAGATAACGTACAAGTACAGCACTTGGGGCTTCAAATAATGTCTTAGCTGACCTCTCACTCAATTCAGGCTCCAGTTTATCAGAGCTGTCTTCTGAGTGTTCGAAGCCATCAGTATTAATTTACTTGCTTTTACATCAGCACATATTAGCTGGTCAAAGTGAAATGGAAGTAAAGACCACCAGTGCCTCCATAATGTATTCTACAGACATATAATTTCTTTTTAGACAACAAGTACATAGGGAAGACTTTTTGGAGCATTGTTTTGTTTTGGTCTTTTTTTTTAACTTCAAACCCAAGAGAGGATCTAGTTACAAAGTTTCTCCAACAATTTCCTAGGAGAAATTGTGTATATTTGAGACATAGCTCACTAGAGTACACTTTTACTTTTTATATTCACTGCCTTGAGAGTTCTCCTAAAATGGGAGGACACTTCTGAGAGCTTATCACTCCCTCTGGTGGTTTCTGGAAGGAATATTGGCATAATCTAAGCAGGAAAGAAAATATCTGGACTGAGGCTGCAACAGTGCAGGGACCCGACCAGGTCTGACCCAGATCCCACGGGGCAGGCAAAGCCCTCCCAGCTCCCTGTGCTGGGCACAGGCACAGAACCAGAGCAGACAAAAAGCAGAGGCAGCAGAAGAGATTGGGTTTGGAAGGGTTTAGGTCCCTTTGTGACATGCAGAGAATTTGAGAGCTCCTCCCAGTGCAAGGGAGAGCAGAATCCCAACAACACCCATTTCCACTGACCACCAACTCAGCTGCAAAAGATACAGTAAAAGCCTCCCTATTTCTTGTCCACCACATTTTAATGGAATGGAAATGAAGTTTAAACTCTATAATGTTCTCAGTCTGCAAAAAGAATCACAAGATAAGTAACAGGTCAGAGTGTGGGCCTGTATACCCATAATTTCACCATCTTCTGACAGAGCTTTACTTCGTTAATACCAATTATATGAAAGCACTAAATTGAATTCATCCTACCTAAGTGCAGTAAAGCACCCATCACTCCAGCATCTGAATTCCCTGAGCTCCAGAGCTGGCAGCTGCCATCACACACAGTGCTGGATTCTCTCACTGGCAGACAGCAAACCTCCCACTGCTGCTGCAGGACAGCACTTTAAAACACAATTCAGCTGCCATTTTAGATTTTGTTCCCTCCCCAGCTAAGATTTTATAAAAATACAATTCAAATACTTTTAGCTTCCCCTTATTATTCTTTGTTTGAAATGAGGTTATCCAATATATCCTATTAAAAATAAAGCCACCCCATAACTTCTTTGAGGAATGGTTCCATTTCACTGAACAAAAACTCATACAGCAGAAAGACATCTCTAAGTGGCTAATAAAAAACCCCCACATTTTACTTTCCTTTTATATTTAAAATTTTAATATGCAGCTATCTTTTTCAGTGCTCAGTTTATAACCAGACAAAATTACATTTTCCATAAGCTTTCAATACACACTGTACTGATTGTGAGGATAAAGGACTTGAACAGGTTATAAGCAGACAGCAATATGAGATAAATTTCAGCTGAAACTCAAATGAAAACTTGTAAAAATGAAGAAAGCTATAGAGTATTACTTCAGGGGGAATTTAGGTATCTCCCAAAAAGATGTGGCCTTTATTGGTTTCTCTTTTACATCCATACTGTGAAGTTGATCACATACAGAACTGATCTAACATAAGGCATTTCAGGTAACCTACACCTACAACTTCTTAAGAGAAATGAAAATAATGACTGGGCCTATTTAAAGAAACCAAAACAAAATTAGAATCCTAACCCAAGCTCCAAAGACCCCCAGCCCTCCTTCATCTTTCGAAGTACTACTGTTTCATTTGAGTTGTAGCTGTTGCGTGCAAAGTTTAAGTTTTCAAATAAAACCCAGCTGCTCTTCGCTTCCAAAAGTTCTCAGGCGTGAGTTCTGCTTGCACAGAAGGGCAGAACTTGAAGAGGTGCATTTCTGACTCACTCAGTGCTGTCATGGAAATCCCTAACAAGCACACAGATGAGCAAAACCACTTGGGACATTTATTTCCTGTTAAGGATGAAGAACCTGGAACAAGCTGTATCTATAAACAGTAATCTTTGCAATTTATCTACATCTACCAAAGAAGCTTAAATTTGGATGACTTTCCATAACAGTAATTTTTTCTCATCAAATCCTAAGGCAAAGCTCATTTTTTAAGCAGAAACAGACCTCAACAATTTAAAGACTTTACAGGCTGCTCCCAGCCCCACCATTCCTCCAGTCCCCTTTGAAAATTCAATTTAGTGTTGTATGACAACCAACAATATTTTATATCCTGTGACCATAAATTCGGAATTATTTTTATTATTACAAGTTCACTTACAGTTTTGTCAAAAAGCAAATTGCATTCAACTCCCCCTTCCTCCTTGACCATTTCTTTGTCTTCATGTTCTCTTCCCAGCATAATGTCAACACACACGTTTCTACACTGACATGCACAAAACAAACAGCAGAACAAATTCAGCTGAAAAAATAAACCAGCACAAAGCTAGTTTTCATCTGGAATCCAGCTCATGGAACAACTTTACAGCTCCGGCACCAGCAGAAGGCAGGAATGAGCCAGTTCAAGACTCATCTGCTAAATATTTCAGTGAAGCCAACAACACACTGAAAACCCACAATGCTTCAGTAATTTACATATAGAAGTTATTCCCTTAAGAGAAAACACTTGAAATATGAGCAGAGTCACAAATCCAAGAATACTGTGGGGAAAAAAAAAATAATTTGTCAATCCATTGGTCAAACTGATCCAAAATGGCAAAAATGGCACACTGTCATTTAATTCATATTTCACTTAAAAAAAAAAAGTGGCCATTTACTGATATCAATCACTTATTTAAGCAAAACCATTTGAAAACAATATTTGGATGACAAGCCCAGATCATACTCTGTAAATTACAGAATTCATAAGTAACCTTACACAAAATTAATTATAAGAAAATTTGAGGATGAATATTTAAAATCTGAATGAGAAAAAAGATCCTGGACTACAGAAGTGGGAAAAAAAGCCAACAATTTAACAAGTTGGATAGAAGGTGTTTGTTAAACACTTTGTAAATGCACATGAGAAGATTCACATTCACACATGCAAGTAGCACTACTATTGCTCACTGCAATACAAGTACAGAGCAGGGAACACACAAATGAAAACATAAATAAATGTGACCATTACATTTTTTTTCTTTTTTTTCCAGCCTCTGACTTGATGTAAAATCTTTTTACTTGCTCCTTTGAAGTTTTAATCATTCCAGAAATGGAATTTCATTAAAATAATTTGCTCCTGGTGTATGTATCCAAAACATACTTAGGGTAACAGCCATTCACTCCACCAAAAGACAAAGCATAACCTTTTAATTTCCCCCCAGAGTGCAGTGCTATTGCACACTAATTCTGTTTGAATGTTTATTTCACATTAAGGGTGCTTTTCTGCCATCTATTTTAAGTAACTACCAAGGAGGGTTGAGTACAGGAGTGCACGGACACGCCTATGAAGAAGTTTGTGGCTCAGGCTCTAATGGAAAGTTCAGCTGCATCAGGAGTTATGTGCCTGTAGTTTTCCACAGCTCCCCAGCCAAAGGTTAACAGGCTGTGGGATCTGCTGGACAAAGTGTCTCCTGCCTGCAGAACTTACTGGATTGCAATGGGCTGAGCAGCCTGGAGAGACGATGAGCAGGCACAGGCTGATCAGGTACCTGTAATCCCTGGTACCAACAAAACTGCTTCCAGATCCTGTGTCCAGACTGCCGGGCTGGAACCATCCCAGCCCATCCCAGCTGTGCATTACTCCTGGGAGGGGCTCAAACAGCAGCCCAGCCACACTCACCCAGGCAGAGTGAGGCAACTCCACTGCTCCAGCCTGAAACTGGTGCAGAGGGAGCCCTGTGCACCTGATCACACAGCTCCTTCCCAACACTGTGCAGAGCACAACAGGCCATCGCCCCATTTAAATAAAATCCCCAACCTGCCAACGTTTCAAATCAATGCTGTTCATGAGCCTCATAAACTACACCAACACTAAAGCTGAAGCAAACAGTGCCCTACCACCTTCTCAGGGGTAGGATTGGTTCTTGAGAGATGTGTGATCCGCTGGGACTGGGTCTGAGTTATCCTTCAAACGCTGCTCCTGCTGAGCCTGCTGCCCTGGGAGCAGCCCTGCCAGCACACAGGGAGAGGAGGGTGTGCCCAAGGACTGGATCTTTTGGCAGGCAGGTCTCAGCAGGACACAGCTTTAGGTAAGAGAATGAATTCAGATGTCTGGAGAATGGCCCAGCAAGCACTTCAGAGACATACGTGCAGACAGAGCTCATGGATGGGAAGAGCATTCTGAAGGAATTCTGAAGGAATTCACTGCAGCCACTTGTCAGTGGTAAAGCTACATAAAGCAGAGAACATGATTTTACTCCTTGAGCCCAACTTGAACTTTTTAGGATAGATAGCTAAAGAAAGATTTTTAAATTTTTGAACTAAAAGTTGTTATACTAACAGAGAATATAATAAATTATACAAAATTAAAGTATAATGTACATGTAGAGGTACCCAGTCATAGGAAAAAAATTAAATAATATAATTCTATTAAACAGCTGAAGACCACAGGATGAAAGTCAGTGCAATATCCAGAATTATAATTATACTCACTAGTCATCAGTAAATGTTTCTATTTCTGTAGCTGAGCATTAAATGACTTTGCACCTTGGACTGCTACTTAGACCACACTGACTAATTCATCTCTGTCAGCAGCTGACATTTGAAGAGCCACTAAACAGCAACTATAAAAGCACTTCCATTTCTCCATCCACATCCCAGCTGAGAGATTTTGAACCCACATGAACAAAAGTGAGAACCTGTGACAGTTCTGTGGCAAGAGCCTTACCCCTGCATCTGGGGAGAGAAGCTCTCTCCCAGTATGATGGAAATCCAGATTTAGGGAAAAAAGTTTCATATGCAATGCTTCTGTATGAACAAAGCTTCGCAGACAATGTGATATGCCAAGTTATTTGCTGTGCATCTATTACAAGTTACTGCAGGTTTAATTTGTATGTGTTTTATTCAGCCTGATACACTAATTGCTCCATGAGAAGAAAACTTTGGGGCATGGATGCATTTCACCCAGCGAGCCTTCAGATTTCAGGGTGCATCCTTGAAAAAAATTAATTCGTGCCATTAAAATACTTGTAAGTGATGTAAAAATATGAACAAGGAAGGCGAACAAGCCAGTAAGGCAGGATCTGTCAGGGGTTATGCAAAAAAAAAAAAAAAAAAAAAAAAAAAAAGTTAAGGAAAGCATCACTGTTCCTTAACACACCGCAGTAAAAAGTTCGTGCTGGGAAGCGGGAAGTCCTGAACGAAAACGGGAAAGTCGATCCTGCTCTGGGAAGCACCTGCCGGGCAGCAGCGAGCCCGCCAAGCGCGGCCGTAACGCACCGCGAGCGGCGGGAACGAAGCGCGGGGCGCGCACGGCCCCGGGAGGGCGGCACCGCCCGCGGGCTGGGCTGAGCCCCCAGATCGGGGCCAGCGCGAGTTCCCGCTGCACAGGGCGGGGAGCGCCGGGGCAGCGGGACCCGGCAGCGCTCGGCCAGCACGGAGCAGGGCTCCGGGACAGGGTGGGGCACGGGCCGGCCGCGGAGGGTGCGCAGCCCCGGAGCCGCCGGGAGAGCCCGGGCGGGTCCCGCGGCCGCTCCCGCCGGCGGCGCCGCCCGCCGCCAACAACAACAGCGCCGCTCGCCCCCGCCACTCCATCTCCCCGCAGCGCCGCCCCATTGGCTGCTCCCGCCGCCTCCTCCTCCCCCATTGGCCGCTCCCGCCGCCTCCTCTTTCCCCATTGGCCGCCCGGGCGCCCGCACGCCCCGAGTCCCCTCCCCGCCCCCACCCTGCGCCTGAGCCGGTCCCCGGCGCCTCCTCGCCCGCCCGGCCCGCCCGCCGCCCCTCACCGTGTAGTAGGAGAGCAGCCCCGCGTTGTAGTCCAGCACGAACCAGCGGTACTGCCAGCCCTTCATCACATTGGTCCATTTGCTCAGCGGGCCCTCCATGATAGACGCCATCTTAGCACCGGACCGGCACCGCCGCGCACGCCGCGCGTTCGGTGAGGGGAGCGGAGCGGGGGAGAGACTCGGCGGCCGCCGGGCGGGGAGGGGCGGGGCACGCAGCGACGGGGAGGGGCCACGGGGCTACTCTGCCCCGGGGGCGGTGTTTGCGCGCGCAGCGGGGAGGGGCCATGAGGGGAGCGGAGCCGAGCCCAGCCCGGCGGGGGCGGCCCCGGTGTCCCGAGGGATGGAGTTCGGGGTACGGGCATTGAGGGCGCTGCCTGAGGGATTCCATCCCCGCGGCTTCTCCTCGCGGCCCCGGGGCAGGCAGAGGGCGAGGCGCGAGGCCGGGCTGTGAGGCGGTGCCGTGAGGGCACGGCGCGCTGGCCCTGCGGAGTGTGAGGGCGGCAGGGCGTCGTCGTGTCCCCTAAAGCGCTTCGGAACCTTTTAGTTCCTGTCTAAAACACTTGGTACCGCTTGGAAGCTTTGAGCATCTCTCGCTGGTGTACTTGTCCCTCTGCCTCTCGGCTTTTTTGCGTGTCCGAAGTGCCTTAAGCCGAAACCAAAGTGGGTTTAACAATGGAGTCCGAGGGGGCTTCTCTTCAAAGCGCTCCACGTCCACAGTGTCTAAAACCCATTAATGACTCGAGATGACCTTTAAAAGTTAAGGCTTCAATGTGACACAGCTTTCCTGTGCACTGATCCAAGAATGTGGAATGAATTCCCCAGGAGCTACGGACAATTGCAAATCTGTTGTTCAGAACAAGGCATGGTTTTGGCACTGATCTCCTCTGACATAAGTACAGAACTTGAGCTGTGCTTTAACATGAAAACTTCCAAGGACCCATAGGGATGCTCATGTTCCTTCCTAGGGATCAACAATAAAGCAGCAGAAGTAGTGTTTTTACCATGAGGTTTGTGTTTATCATGCAGTCTGGCATGTTCTTTATAACATTTTCTCCTTTTCCCCTTTATAGCCCTTTTTTATTCTTTTACTATTTAAATGCCTTTACAGTCACGCTGAAGTAGGTTTAGTGCAACTTTATACTAAGTTAGACAAAATTTAATAGAAAATCAGCCCTTTAGTGAAAAATAATCACGCTGGTTTGTCACCAGTGGGAATTTGGAGCATTGATACTCCTTGGAGTCACCTGGTGGTGTGTTTATGCATAGGGTTATCAGTTTAAGGTACCTAATGCACAATCTGATTTTGAAATCCGGCTTGTTAATTTAGATAACATTTTTTTCAAGCTGCATATGACCTTAGTAGTCTGGTTTTGTTCTTTATTTTCACTGACTAAACAAAGCGGGGCTGCCTAGAGATTATACCCAAGCAAGCAAAACAAAAAACATCAGATGGTGCCAGAACATTACGAGTGCTGCCAGTTAAAGCTGTAGCTGGACTGGAGCTTTATTATCTCAGATCACTCCTTTGGCTCTATTATGCAACAGAAGTTGAAACAATGCAAAGAACTCATGGTAAAAAAAAACCCTCCCGGCTTAACCCTGAAAAACCTGTGTGTGGGCAGAACATCTACAATAGGAAATTCTCCACAGAAGAGCTTTTTATTTACCTTGGTTTGCCAGAGGCTGAGTTTCCTGAACTTCAGTTTACACTGCATATCTTAGTAGTTCTTTGTTCTCTTTGACTCTTTTTTGGGGGGAAATGTGACAAAGGCTTGTATCCACAGAAAAAGCATGTATTTTAGATACCTCGTTTTAGCTAAAAGTTTAGAGTAGGAAAATTTGTGTTAACGGGTATAAAAGGGGGAATTCAGCTCAAGGTTTCTTTTAGAAATGTAGTGTGGATAGTCTCCTAAAGTAATTTGTCAGAGATCAGAGAATAATTGTTTTTCAGAAAGCCACACACAAACTGAAATAAATACGTTTGAAATGACAGTCTTTGAGCATCCAGGGTGTATCATACAAGTTTATGCACTTTCATGCCAGGATGTTCTGTGCCTGTCAGATAACTCCCCTATATTGAACATGGATCATGAGGGCACTACTGAAGGATTTAGGATGAACTACTTAGATCCTTCTGATTAAGATTCTTGGGGCCTATTAGAATTCTTTTGAAAAAACCAATGCAAACATTTTAGTTCATTTAAACAAATCAATAAACTGAAATCGGCAATGTGCCGTAATCTTCTTAATAGAATTTGGTTTGCTTTAACATGTTCTGTCTGAATTCCATCTGGATCAGTTACAAAGAGCTGTTATTTTCTGTAATTATAGACAGTTTTATTGTGATGTTCTCCATATTTTACACACCTTAATTCAGACTGGAGTGTCACCCTCTGTAACATTTAGTACTTTCTGTCACCTGAGAGAATAACATGCTACACAGGTAACAGAACTGGGCTGAAGGCAGCAGCTGTTGCCTTGTGCTGCCTTTGTTTCCTGCACTGCTCCATCAGCTGAAAGTCTTGTCCAGCACCATTCTCTTGCCTCACAGAGGTCTCAGTTCCATTTTCCTGCCACTGGCCCAGCCACACACACATTTCCTGACCATGAAGTGGCCTCCAGGGTACTCAGACTGTCCCAGCAGGAATGTAGGGGGAAACCTCAGATATGTCCAGTCCTTCCTGTCTTTTCCAGGACATCCCAATTTGCACTCTACTTTTAAAAATTCCTTCTATGTTATTTTTCTTTGTCCAAGCTTGTCCAGTAAATTACATTTTTGCCCATTGCAGTTTAAATCTTCATGGTTTCTAGCCAAAAGGAAGAAACTGCTGGTCAGAGTAAATACCAGTGAAGCATCAGGGTAGACAATGGAAGCAAGAGAACACTGGAAATCTGATTCTTTATGAAGAAAATGCTCTTCTGTTGTAATTTTTCTGAAGTTATGGCTGAACTCAGAAGAACCTCAGTGATGAAGTTGTGGCTTGTGGGTTTCCTTCAGGGTGTCTGGGAGTGTGACTGGCAGCAGTGAAAGTGGCTTTTGGTTCTCCCAACAGCTGCAATTGCTTGGGGTTCTGAGGAACATAAGGAAGGCATTTGAGAAGAGAACAAATAACATTCTGTTTCAGTTTCTTTTCCAACTTCAGAAATCTGCTGGTACTTTAATTTTGTATTGCCTGTCCTGTAAGTTCATTGTGTCAATTACTGATAACGTAATCATCCTAATTAACAATTTATGTTTTAGCCTGATAGTGGATGATTCTTTTTTCGCTTGTTGATAGCAAATAATGTCTTTTATTTGTACCTTCAGGGAAACATTCCCTCCATTTTATTTTTTACGGGTAACATGCAGTAATAAACTACAATCAAGTAGAAGATGGAGCATTCTGTGCCATCCTCAGTCTCCAGCTACTGTCCTTTACAGGTATTTTCTAGTCCTTCTATATTCATCCCAACTACACTAAGAATAGGAGCACTATCAGAGCCTAAACATTTTTTATTTTGTTTCTTCAGAATTATGTTTGGTTTAGGGGATTACAGAGAGGAAGATAGATGGGAGAGAATCACCTTCACCCTACAAGCAGTCATTCTTCAAAGAGGATAATTAAATCAAGTATGACAGTAAGTGCCATTGTAAGTAGATTTTCTGAATAGATTTATTATACTGTCACTGGTTTTAATACAAATGTTTATGAAAAAAATCAACAAGACGGTGGAAGGAGGACAGTAGCTGGTTTCTGAAGTAAACAAATAATTCTCTTGGGCCTTTCTTGCCAATTCCTCTATGATTCTGTGAAATAAAAGCCATTAGCAATACATTTTCCCAATCCTGTTCATTTTAATCTAGTTTTTCTCTGATTTTAATGAATTGTCATAAATTCATTAAATTGGTCAGGGATGAGGAACCTCACTGAGGGTTATGCAGACCTTTCTGAGTCTTCTGAATGACTCCATATTCGCATATTTTGGAAAAATCAAATTATAGCACGTTGTATGGGAATCAAGTCATGAAGTCTCAGAATCCCTGTTCTGTTTTTGCATATTGCTTATGGCTGTGTTTGGTGGAAGTTCACAAGAGAAGGGGTTTTTCTGTTTGAACATTAGGTCTGCCTTCCTGCAGTTTGGAATCTCATCCTTCCATTGTGTGTTTAGAGCTGCACTGGAGAGCACTGGAATATTGGAGCCAGTTCCCCAAAACCCATGGAATATGTTCAGCCAAACTGCAATACCATTTAAGTCAGGGCTGAAGGCTCTGTCTTGCATTTAAGATAGAGATGATGCTGAAACTCAGATTTATTCTGTGTGTAGTTATTTAATCCTCCCTGGTAGTGCTGTTTGTCAGAGGATGATGCAGCAAAGACGCAGCTGACTCACCTCGCTGGCACGGACCCTTGGCAGGACGGGGAGGAGTTTGTCAGATGTTGTTGCAGTGTGTTAAAATCTGGGAGTGGAGGTGCTTAATTAAGCAACTCCAGTGACTCACCTAATGGCCAAATCCTGTTACAAGGTCTACAGAGAAATACATTTTAAGGACATTGTAAATTGGAGTAGCTTTGAAACAGTAACAAAACTTACATTTTTGGTGTGGTTTCTTTAGAGTAAATTCAGGTTTTGCATGACAGTTTGATATAACATTATCTGGGAGTTGCAGGAGTATAGATTGACACTTTAGGACTCAACATTTCTTCAAGATGTACATTTCTGGGCTTGATGAGGGGCTTGGCTGTTAAGAAATGTAATTATCTTCTGCACTCACTTGACTCAGAGGACAAAGAATTCCTCCCATGTATCCTGATCACACTTGAGACCTTCAGTGTTCTGAGAGGACGGAATTAATAGCAGTAAAAATTTAATGGGGAAAGCACCTTCTAACAGATTATGTAACTTAAACATAGTATAAATCTAATACAAAATACTTTTTAAAATTACCTAGCCTTTATACTGAAGAATAGTTATACAGGCTATTTTCCATCTCTACGTTAGCTGAGCTCTGGTAATCTGAAAAACAATCTAGGAAGTAGAAAAATGTTGGAATGAATTTCGGTGAACAAATCATTGTCAGCTTTGTATTATTTTATTATAAATAAAGTTAGAATACCATAATTGACTCTTGAGATAACAGGCCATGGACACTTC